GCAGTAGAATTAAAGGGCCAAATGGTAGGTCTACTTTTAGTTCTTTGAGGACTCTCCAAATTTCTTTCTGTAGAGGCTGTACTAGTTTGCAGTCCTGCCAACAGTGCATGAGTGTTGCCTTCTCTCTGCACTCATGCCAGCAACTCTTGCTTTGGGACCCTGTGATGTAGGCCATTCTCATTTGGGATATCTCAAAGTTGTTTTTATTGGCATTTTTCTGATAATTAGGGATAATGAGCATTTTTCATGTGTTTATTGGCCATTTTTCTGTCCTATGAGAAAACTTTCCATTCATGTCTCTTGTCCAGTTTTTAATGAGATTGTTTGCTCTTTTCTTATTTATGTGCTTGAGTTCATTGAAGATTCTGGTGATTAGCCTTTTACTGGATTTATAATATGCAAATATCTTCTCCCATTCGGAAGGTGGTCTTTTTGCTTTGTGGATTGTGTCCGTAGCTATGCAAAACCTTTTTAACTTGATCAAGTCCCATTTATTTACTTCTGTTGCTACTACAATTGCTAGTAGGATCTTCTTCATAATTCTTTTCCTAGGCAATTTCAAATCACGAAGGAATTGCAAGAGATGTTAACAGACGGAAGCACATATCATTCTCATGGGTTAGAAGAATCAATATTGATAAAATGTCTATACTACCCAAAGCAATCTACAGATTTAGTACAATCTCTATTAAAATATCAATGTCTTACTTTGAAGATTTAGGAAAAAATAATTCCATGTATTGTATGCAACCAGAAAAAAACTTCATTAGCCAATACAATTCTAAGAAATAAGAATAAAGCCTTTCCGGACCTGGCCGAGAGGGTGTCGCCATCATGGGAGTCAGTATTTGCCACAACAAGGACCGAAAGTTTCGTCACAAGGAGCCCAAGAGCCAAGACATTTACCTAAGGTTGTTGGTCAAGCTGTACAGGTTTCTGGCCAGACGAACCAACTCTACCTTCAACCAGGTTGTGCTAAAGAGGTTGTTTATGAGTCGCACCAATGGCTACCACTGTCTCTTTCCCGGATGATCCGGAAGATGAAACTTCCTGGCCGGGAAAACAAAACAGCTGTGGTTGTGGGGACCATAACAGACGATATGCGGGTTCAGGAAGTGCCCAAACTGAAGGTGTGTGCTTTGCGTGTGAATAGCCGGGCCTGCCTGCACCCGTACGTATCCTCAAGGCTGGGGGCAAAATCCTCACCTTCGACCAGCTGGCCCTGGACTTCCCCAAGGGCCATGGCACCGTCTTCTGGTCCTTGCAAGGCGGGGCGGTGTAACGGCATTTCCGCAAGGCCCCAGGAACCTGGCATAGCCATCCAAACCCTACGTCCAGTCCAAGGGCCGGATGTTAGAAGGGCCAGAGCCCAACGGGCCAGCCAAGGCTACAAAAACTAGCACTGGAACCTACCATTTTATTTAAAAGATTTTGGATGCAAAAAAAGAAAGAAGAATAAACTGGGAGGCATCATATTGCCAGACTTCAGGTTACCCTACAAGTCGATAGCAATAAAAACAGTATGGTATTGGCACAAAAGTAGAGACATAGATCTCTGGAACAGAATAGAGAATCCAGATATGAAGCCAGTCTCATATAGCAATCTAATCTTTGACAAAGCAGACAAAAGCATTCAACAGAGAAAAGAATCCCTATTTAATAAACGGTACTGAGAAGATGAAACTGGACCTACACCTCTCACCACTTACAAAAATTAACCCAAGATGGATACAAGATCTAAATCTAAGACATGAAACAATAAAAACCCTAGAAGATAGTGTGGGAAAAACTCTTGATCTAATGTGCTTGTATCTTAGATGGAATTGCCTAGAACCAGATCCTGAGGCAAGTATTCAGATGGAAGAAAGACAGCTAGTGAGTGTTCTTAGGAAAAAGGTCTAAGGGAACAATATAGAGAAGGGGAAGGAGACAAGCAAGGACCTCTTGTCATGTAGGATCTAGATTTGACTTAGTTTTGCAAGTGGAGGGGGAAGCTTACCTCTGGAACACAAATTACACTACAGGGTTGTTTCTGCCTTTGAGGTAAGGAGGCTGGCCCTATAAGTGAC